CTTCGCTGCAGACGTGGATTATGTCCCCGCGTGCCTCTATGTGGAACCCGGGAGCACGGGTCGCCAAAACCAATACCTGATATACCATTGACGATCTTAAATGTCTCGATCTCCTCTCATCTGCCTCCTTTGAGGGAGAACAGATTCAAATCCCTGGACCTCTGTTTATAGCTTTCCCCCCGTTGTCCGGCTTTCATCCTCGTGGCTAAACGTTGAACCCTCTCCAAGCTGTCAGTGTACTTTCAGAAAACGGAGCCCAAGCCTGCACACAATATTCCAGNAACAGCTCACCCGAGCTACGAGAAACAATTTTCAATACTTTATCAACACGAATCTGTAGGCTCGATTTGCAAGAGCCACAAATTGTATTGTAAGAACTGAACCGAATTGAACTGGGAATAAACCAGTAGTTTGTAGACGATCTTCATAGCTGGTCTCACTTAGCCCAACGAGTCCAGTGGCAGGAATTTGTACCCGCTTCAACTTAGCCAGTTCACCGGCCAAGCAGAAGTTGAAGCACTACCATACTCAAGTTTTCTTTTGACGTGAGAAGCGTACAGCGGTCTAAAAGCGTCCATCGTAAGTCAACCAAAGTACCTCTGAATATGTCTGGGAATGCTACACACATTGTCACATACTATCTCTGCACTCTCGGGTGTTCAGCGACTAAATCAACATAATTTTCAGTTATTTTTCGCACTATGTTCTACGTATTTCGTTTCCTCGGAAGCTGTAAACCACCTCCGAATCAACACGCCCAAGGTGCAAGTAAGCAATCTTAGAGGCACTGACCAGAAAAATTTTAGAACCACAANGCACACAATATTCCAGATGCGGACGGATGATGCAGTTGTATAGTGAGAAAAACATCGGGTTTTCTGCACGCCATTGTCGCGCATAAGTGAAGCCTTTGCCCCCTGGCTTTGTTTGCGGCCTTCACACTCTGGGTGTTTGGTTTGAAGTTCTGCGTTATCACTTTGCATGGATCCTTTGCCTCGTGCACCCTTTATATCGACAGGCTGTCTCTTCGTCAGTTCTGGTGGTCAGTACCTGACATTTCGAGACGTTCAGTGGTAGGTTCCACTGTTCGGCTCATCTTATGACGACCTCTATATCATTTGCGAGATCCCATCCAGCTATCTTGACATCATCTGCAAACAGAAAACAGGAATTTTGGAGATCCCATGCTAGGTCGTTAATGTAGAGCAGGAACAACAGTGGTCCAAGTAAGGATCCTTGAGGCACACCGCCTGTGACCACCTCGGATATGTGATGTGTGCGCTCCTACTTTGACACTAAATGTCCACGGCAGTCCAGCTCATGACTTGACCAAATACTCCCAATACTTGCATCTTATGATCTAACAGAGGGTGGCTGACCGAGTCAAATGCTTTATGAAAGTTCAGATAGCATACCTACACCGGTAGACCCTCATCTGGTCTACGTGTGACCTCGTCTAGAAACACCAGCAGGTTTGTCAGACAAGACTTCTTTTCGAAAAACCTGTACTGAGCTGGTACCAATAGTCCGCTGTTGACTGTTTAGTGGCATATTTGCCTTCTTACTAGCCGCTACAAACACCTACATATTACTGATTTCAAGCTTACTGGTCTGTAATTTTCGGCTCTTTGCCGGGATCCAGACCTGTGTATTGCCACTACTGTGGCTCTTGCGCCAATCGTCCGGGACAGCTTCCAATCTAAGTGACTCTTTGCGTATTGGCGCTTCAGCGGAACCTCATCTGCTCGAGGAATATCCTGAGGGGTGATATGGCCTCANGTCGCAGCAGCATTTCCCACTATGGAACGTGCGCGGGGGCACTCTCTAGCGTTGCGTAAATTTCAGTCCGTTAGTCTACCGACTTCACAAATGGTCTCACTGAACGGTATACGAGAACCTCCGGTGCTACATATCAGATGAAAGTGTTTGATTATTCCCTCCTCCTCCTCCTCCTCATCATCATCATCAGCAGCAGCAGCAGCAGCAGCATACAGCGAAATACAGTAAGGCGAACTTCACTGATCGCTGCCAAACTCGCAATGCATACAAGGTTAG